CTTCAGAACCTCAGATTTTCAAAGTCAAAAAAAATTTCCTATCCTGGATTTGGCAGTGCTGAAACATTTCACTCACACAAAAAGAAAGACACCTATATGCTTCTTTTAACTACCTGAAAATGCTTAACCCATTATAGAAGAAGAATGGAAAACTATTTTCAGAGAAAAATAAGTTGATGAGGTCTTGGATCTGACTGTGGAATATGTTTAAATTGAGGATGAAGCCAAATAACAGACAAAATTGTATTTGAGAACTACAGAGCTGCTGCTGAGACATTATGTATTCAGAAGGCAGATACCTTATCAAATCCTACATTTCTGTTAAACTTCCACCACCATGAATACAAGTTTCCACTGAACTACAACTGAACCAGCTTCCAAGAATGAGATCCTGACTTTCAGACTCACTTTGTTCACAGTCAAACTAAGGTCTGAGTGAAGAATGCTTCCTCAGAAAGGGAATTCCTGTATCAGGGCATAAATGCTGAGTAAAATATGGCCAAAACAGGATGGCTAACACTCACGTACATACACAGTTCTTCAGCAAGGTCTGTAACAGTTCCGTAAGCAGGTACTGAAAAAGAGCCAACTCCAGACAGTCAGCTCAGTCACACCCTAAGCAGAAGAGTGCTGTCTCTCAAGCGACCCATCCCACTCAGTCCTTTCCCTTGCTTTTCTAGAGAAGTGTTCCACAAAGCACCCATCTAGCACAGTGGGCAGGGTAAGATATGATATCGATAAGATACAGACATAAATAAACTTGCCATGAGCAATAAGGATTATTTCAGCCCTTCCTAGAGGGAATCCTGAAAGGTTAACTCTTCTTACCTACTGGTCTCTTATTGCAGAGATGGAAACTCATTCTCTTTTGAGGGCTTCCTTTTTCAAGGACTAAGCTAAAATACAGGCTTAGAACTGCCTTTACCCACGAGGGTCCGGGTTTATTCAGACGGCTGGGAAAGAAACAAGATCCTACAATATTTTTCATCTTCAAAAGTATCTTTGTTGGTTTTGGAGACACCTGAAAGAAATGCTAATGAACAACGGGTTTACAACTCACTCTCCTTTCCAACACAACCACTGTGCTTTGAAAGCAACCCTAAGAGGTTTTTCTAGTGAACTGTCACTGGGTGCATAACAATGAGCAGTGATTTCATCTTCCCTAAGTGGGTCATGGGATGCTTAACCATGGGACGTTTTCAAAGCAGTATTAAACTTTTAAGGACATCAATTTTTCTCCCGGTGTGAGAAGGTGCAGCCTGATAGCAGCTGGGGACTTTGAACTGAAAAGCACCCAGCTGGAACTTTGGCAGAAAGCGCTGCAGTGATTAATTGACATCTGCAGCGATGTATAGCTGCAAACAAAAGGGGCCGTAGCGCTAGGTGGAGGCAATCACAGCACTGTGAGACAATGTTTTTATGTACAGCCTCCTCTAAGATAATATTAAGAACATATGCAGAAGCACTGCTTAGGGCTATGACTCTTGGGACATTTGGCCCACATCAGGAAACCCACAGATGACTGGAGCACACACACCCATTTACATCCCTTTGATGTCAGTGGTATATATGGCTTGTACTGGCTACACAGAACAAAGCTGCATGTCCAACAGTTTCTCATAGTTTCATGTATCTATTTTGTGCATTGTTATGACTTTCTCTGACGAAGAGTTGACAAAGAGTATCAAATGTTTCTCCTCACAAACGCAGTGCACTGCTAACCAGCTACCTCCCAGTCTTTCTCTTGGTCTCAGCTCAGTGGTGTCTGATAAACTCCTGCCCAGAACACCTCCACTGTCTGCCCAGGAAAAGAAGCCTGGAAATACAGTCCAGGGACTACTCTGCAGACAGTCCAGGAGCCCGGCCTGAGTGCAGGATTACACGTCTTGCACAGGGCTAGGACAAGACCTCCACATCGACAGAAACCAGTTCGATCTGTGAGCTGTAGGAAGTTCACGGGAGAGCCACGTTAGTCGCGTTTCCCTTTACGGTTAAGGAGAGGCAGCACTTCCAAGGATGACCAAATCTCAGGTTAGCCAAATTACCTTCTGTAAGCATTTGTCTTTCCCTGCGGCTTAGAAAAGAAAAGGACGCGCGGACACCTTATTTAGGCACACTTATTAAGAGCCTAAAATTAGGCAAACTTAATCTGGGCCACCTACTTCTGTCAGTCACTGAACACTGAGGGCAAATGCACAGAAATGGATTGTCTCCATGTCGCTCCTGGCCAAGAATCTGCAATCACTGTCACGCAAAGAGTAATTATTCTGTGTTTCTTTGTGACATTCGCTAATTCTCTACACCTTTGTTCTGCACCACCATTTCCTTTCCTGCCTTCACTCTCAGGTAATTCTCTGAATAAGCTGCTTGTTGCTAACATACAAAACTTACTTCACTTTCTACTCGGGGATTTCCTCTGGTAATTGGTTTTCTCCCTCTGTGTTTATTTTGCAACTAGTGAATAAAAACTCCATGTTTTTTCAGTTCCAACTGGGATTACAAGGTAAACTGATCCATACACAATCCATGTTGTTGAGCTCTATTGCTATTTCTTTTCCTACACTTAACATTTACATAGCATAATCCCAATATTGTACTTCAGAGACATTACTTTAGGAGCAAAAAATAAGTATTATAAAGCAGTGCCATATCTTAAAATGCCCTGGTATTTCGAAGGTGGACAAATCAACACACCTAAAAGTCAAGCCTCCTTTATTCTATCTCAGCAGAAGATTTTCAAGGCTGCTCACCTGGGGTATTTCAATCAAAAGTGACCAAAACATTATTTTTACCATCTAACTTAAAACCAGGATTTACCCTGGCCTGTGCTAGTCTTTCCATGGATTGTAAGGTGATTCTGGGGAGACTGGCTGGCTTAATTAGCCACTATATTAGGTCTTATGTTGGCATAACATGAATATGCTTTCTTCATCTGTTACTGCCTAAAGTATAACTTGCACACCCTTTTGGCTCTTAAATAGAAAGTGTGTTTGTATTCAGGCTTATAAAGGTATAAAAATATGAAATTCTATTTACTTGAGTAAACATGGAATTAGAAATCTAAGTTTAGATGAGTGTTTAGTCTCCTGGCAATAGGACAAAGCTCTCAGTCTTATATTGCTAAAGATGGATGAAAAATTTTTAGTTTCGTTCAAAAATGAGTTTTGGTAGCAAAGACAAATATTTGCATGTTTCCAGTAGAATTCAGATGACAGTTTCAAGCAAAAAAGAGATTTTTTTTTTTTTTTCAATGTCAAATCATTCATCCCCTGTATGGAAAGTTTGCTTTAAAGTGCCAGTGCATTTTTTAAACTCATTTCAAAATTAAATGTTGGCTTTTTAATTTGAAATAAAATTTTTATTCTAAAATGAGCACTTAAAAATGAACAGAAGTTAAATGGAACTCACAATTAAATAATTTCCAAGTGATACTGTGCAGCTGATCCAAAGGTTTCTATCCTTTTTTCATTTTTAACTAATATCAGGCAAAATGCCCATTCTTTGTAATTTCAGTCAGAACAAAAACAAAACAAAACAAAAAACCAGAACAAAAATTCTGTTTACTTGCCTCTATATTATATACGACACAAGTAGGGGGCGTTTAGGGGTATTAATGTCTTCCATAAGAAATAATCTTACCATTTAGAGCTATTCTAATGATTTCTAACTTCAAATGCAGAAGAGATGAGAATGTTTTAAGGTC